AAATAAAATGAATGAATGATAAAAGTAAATAAATAATTCTTTTAAAAAAATTAAAACTAATTTTTTTTTTTTTTAAATAAGGCATAACAGGCTGGAAGTCCTCTAGCGAACCTAGGAATTTTCTGCTTATGAGCATTGCTTGGGTTAAAAAAATGTAGGTTATGGACTAAAGCTGGAAGAGAAAGTTCAGCATAATCGTCTTTGGGACTGAGATTTAATGAAACCTTTGAGGTCGTATGGACCTTTGCCAAGAGCTAGAGGGAACAGGCCAGTAATTAAAGCACGAGCTTTGCCTGGAAAGAGTAGAAGTGGGAGGGACAGGACATGTGGGTTTTGACAAAACATGTACAAGAGACATATTGCAAATAAGGTGCTGGAGTCAATCCAGGAAGAGGGAAGACCTCGCAGAAGAGGTGCCATTCAAGTTGAGTCTCAAATAGCATTTTGGATTTTGTGGGAGAAGTAGAGGGAGGGAATGCTTCAGATGAAGGAGTCAGTGAAGACAAAGGCACCGTCAGGAAGGTGCAGCTCTGGCCAGGTAGCAGTGAGTGGGTCAGTAGAGAGAGACTATTCCAGTGCAAAGTTGGTGGTAATGTTAGAGATCAGTCTGGAAAGAGAAAGGCAGATCAGATCGTCAGAGCCTAGACTGCTGTTGATTCGGATTCTGCTAGAGCAGAGCTTTAACACAGCAAATCCATGTCTTCAGGAAATGCCTGGTGCTGACAGCGCCAGGGAGCATGTTGACTGGGTTGCTTCAGCAGTACAGGAAGACAGGGAGAAGGACCTTTACTGCAGCACTAGACACAGAGGTCACTCTGGTGACCAAGTGGACATACAGTAGAAAGAACCTAATTAAAGGGCCCAGGTGATAACTTCAAGGATGAAGCTGATACCATGGAATTTCCACGTGCCAATGACAGGGACCCATTAGAGATGTGAGTGAGGTTGAGGGCAGAGGTCAAAGAGAAAACGACGTGGGGTGAATGGTAAAGCCTATAGCTGAAACCCCAGAGGAAGCAAGAAAATGAACAGCAAGATGGCTGGAGTGGTTAAGGGAGGTTGCTGGTTTTATTCTGTTGTTTGGGATAACTTGAGAGCATCCTATGGGAGTAAGAAACAGTTGTCAAACTGCTGTGTGACAACTGTGCTCCACGGGACATGGAGGGAGGACAGTAGAGTCCTTTATGGTGAGGATGACTTGTGTTCGTCGCAGTAAAGTGAAAGGTGGGTACAGTGCTTATAGTAGGTCTGAGGGCTTGAAGTCAATGGCAATCAAATAGCAACCTGAAGCATCTTGTATGGGGAGCTGGCATGTGGCGTGGTGGTTGGGTGCTGGACTTCCACATGACTGACTGCAGTACGAGTCCCAGACCTGGTGGCTTGCCTTCTCACTTTCCCCCCTTTTTCTCTGATCAACTTAAAAAAATAATCATAATGAATGACATTAAATAAATCATTCTTTTTTTAAAAAGTCTTATATGGTCTTGGTGAGGGCTCTTGCAAACTGATCCTGCATTCATTTGAAAACTGATGCTGAAAGTTGTTTTCTGCCCTCCTAGGTGTAAAAGAGGAACACATTGGAGAACCAAAGAAAGAAGATAAAGTATGGGAACAGCAAGTGAAAGAACACAGACAAAGAGAAAGACAACAGAGTGACCAACAAGAAGCTTTAGAAAGGGAACGAAGAGAACTGGAAAAACTGGACCAAGAAAGGGTAATGAATACTGCTTAATCCTCTGTACTAGTTTCTCCACCGTGCACCTTTAATAAGTACCTTGAATTCAGGGAGAGGTGTCGTGAGCATCTCAAAGTGAGAGGAGGGCAGGTAACTTAAAAGGCATCCCTATCCTCTCCTTGTCTTAGAGGATAGGGATATGGGAAAGGCACATATATATGTATGCATAGAACGTACATACCCCTTACGAGTTTCATAGTATTAAAAAGGACTTTGCATGCATTTCTCATCTGATCCTCAAAACAAGCCCATGAAAGGGATAGGCTATGCTTTGTAAATGGGGTTTAGAGAAGAGCCTCCAGGTCAGCTAGGTGGGACAAGTAGAACTCAGGGGAGAAGGTGGCTGCCATTCCTCAGTTGCTTCTTGGCATATATGCTGACTTCTCTGTCCTCTAGTTCCCATCTTGCCTTCTATGTTCTGATTCTGGTCCTAGACAGGTGGATTACTCTAGCCACTTAATTCACCTACTAAGTAATTCGACTTTCCACATAAATGGTCTTTGGACTCCTGGTTAATTTGAGTCTAAAGCACAAGACATTAGGCCAATTAATCCCTCCTTTTGTTGCAACTAGATGTTTATCTCACTTTGATAGTAGCAATGACTTCAATTTAAATATATGCAAATATAGTTCTCTAGGATGGGATCAGGATTATACTTCTGTGCATGTTTAAACACAAGACTTTTTTTTTAATTTTAATTTTTTTTTTTTTGGAGAGGTTTTTTGCTATAGGGTGCGTATGCTTGCCAGACAGACAGAGAGAGACAGAAAGCGAGAAATCACCCCCCAGGGGGGATGGCCATGCTGCAATCCCTTCTCCTCCATTCTCCTCTTGGGATCCTGGGCACGCACGCACACGCGCCTGGCGTGAGTTTTAAGCCACCAGGTCCGGGACGTGAACCGCGGTCAACTACGTGGGAGTCCAGCGACATAGCCATTACGCTAACTGCTGGTCTCCTAAACACAAGATTTTAAAATCATACATTTGAGTACGTGTGTCCTATATTGGTGCCCTTCTGTTTTATAGAGGATGATTGAGGAATCATTGAAGATTGAAATGGAAAAAGAATTAGAAAAGAGTATGCAAGAATCGAAGGACAAATCTGCTCACAGTCAAAACCCTTTAGAGAAATACATGAAAATCATCCAGCAGAGGCAAGAGCAAGAATTGCCAGATCAGGTGCTGATGCCGTGGGCAGGGCACTCTGTGGGTGGGGAGGGACACCAAGTGCTTCTGTGGTTTAAGACCTGGACAGAAATGTATCTTCTCCTTGAAGATAAAAAGATTGCAGGCATAGAAAATCCAGAGTTCAGATGGAAGCTTAAGGCTTTTAAATGTATTACACTCTTGATAAAATTTTATAGCTCTTGCTTATTAGTTTATAAAGGTTGGGATGTCTCTTATTCTAAGAAGGAAATAATGAACTGCCCTCAAATAATGAATGCATTAGTGCTGAAACATTAATATTTTATATGTAAGCCTGAAATATTGGGCGTGCTACAAATGCATGCCATGTAGTTTTTATTTGCTCGCTAAATTTTCTATTAAGAATTCACCTCTTTTCCTTAAATCACATATACATTTCAGTAACCATTCTTGGAGAAATCAAAGTGTTTTATGAAATTATTGCCTATCTAATTTCAAAATTCTTTCCCCCTTTTTTGTATCAGAGCTCAAAAAAGGACAGAGATGGCTCAGTAGTGGACACGCTGCCACCTAGTGACAAAGATGAAAGGTATGGTTTCCCCAAACCCTATATTCCTTACCAAATCATTATTGCTCAATATGGTAGCTAAGAAAAATGCTCAGGGAATTGAGATTGCCTATATGAAGTTATTGAATCAGTCAAAATTACTGACTTAAAAAAAAAATCTGGGCCAGCTCAGTGACTTGGTGGTTAAAGCAGCCAGATCTCACATGGCCAACCACACGAGGTTCAAATCCCAGACCTGGCAGTTTGAGAAACATGACAGGTGTGTTTGTGCATATGCATGCCCAAAATCCCAGCCAGGTGGAACAATGGAGAAGGGATTGTCGCATGACCATCCCCCCACTCCCCCCAGGGAAGGGGGCTGCTTTCTCCTTCTTCCCCTCTCTGGTGAGTGGACAAGCCCTCTAACCAGGGGGGGGAAAAAAAAAAAAGGCATTTTTAACTTGTGAAATTGATCCCGATACAAATTGTATGTGAAGGCAAAAACCCCACAAAGAAATGAGAACATTACAATCCAAAGAATCTAAAGTTGACATGAATTTTTAAATTTTTAATCTTTGTCTTTCCC